CTATGGGTCTGTGCGTGAGCGTGTGTCCGTCCGTGTCTGTGCATCCGTGTGTCTGTATGTATGTATGTATGTATGTATGTATGTAGGTATGTGTGTGTCTGTGTCTGTGTGTGCATGTGTGTCTCTGTCTGTCTGTCTGTCTGTCTATCTGTCTGTCTTTCTGTCTATCTGTCTGTCTGTCTGTTTGTCTGTCGGTCTGTCTCTCTGTCTGTCTGTCTGTCAGTCTGTCTGTCTGCCTGCCTGTCTGTCTGTCTGTCTGTCTGTCTGTCTGTCTGTGCATGGCTGTGTGTGTTCATGCGCATGTGTGCATTTGTGTCTAGGTGTCTGAGCATGAGCGTGTGTTCACGAGCATGCATGTATGTGCATTCGTTTGTATGTGTGTGTGTGAAGGAGCTTGTGCGCGAGTTTGTGCCTGTGTGTCTGTGTGTGAGTGTGGGTGGGTGTGCACGTACACACGCACACACTCACATGTGAACTTACATGTCTGTTTGTCTGTTCACATGCATTATGTCATACCTTGGCCGCCGCGGTGGTGGCGGCAGATCTCAGAAACTTCGACATCTTTCGCTTGACACCAACCTTTATAGCTGCTGTTCGAAAGGCAACTAGCGATGATCTTACGTACGATGAAATACTGCGTCAGTGCACTGCAATCGACATGCACATGGTGACGTTCACTGATGTGCAACTTGTCAACAGTATGCAATCAAGTCCGCTCGTCACTAAGCTACAGGCCGATTTCTACCCGGACAGCTACAAGGGCCTGACACTTAAGAACAGAAAAGCGGCACGCATCCTTCCCAACGGCACTCTGTATGAGGAGGGCCTGCTGCCGGGTGAGACCGGAACTCTTCTTTGCCGGAGTAAGTGGCCGTACGGGAATGGTTGGGTCTGTGTAGAGGGGATGCTAGCTGACCAGGCCCTAAGTCTTGCACTCTTTCTCTCAATCTCTCTCTCCCTCTCTGTCTGTCTGTCTCTCTCTCTCTCTCTCTCTCTCTCTCTCTCTCTCTCTCTCTCTCTCTCTCTCTCTCTCTCTCTCTCTCTCTCTCTCTCTCTCTCTCTCTCTCTCTCTCTCTCTCTCTCTCTCTCTCTCTCTCTCTCTCTCTCTCTCTCTCTCTCTCTCTCTCTCTCTCTCTCTCTCTCTCTCTCTCTCTCTCTCTCTCTCTCTCTCTCTCTCTCTCTCTCTCTCTCTCTCTCTCACACACACATACATACACACATACATATACACACACACACACACACACACAGCAGGGCCGGCGCCACTGGTACGGCCGGTACAGCCATGGCCGTACCAACTTCCCAAAAAGTCGGTCCACGTGGAACGTCGGAAAACTGTGGAGAAAAAGTTTCGATGTATGATTTTGTACATGGAGTCGCCCAGAGTGCAGGATTTGCCGTCTAAATTCGAAAAACTTTTCTGGGGGAGACCCCCAGACTGCCCTTAAAGATGGCCCTTCGGCCGCACAGCTCCGCGGAAGCTGCCTCCCGCCCTGCACACACACACACACACACCATTGGACCATTGGACGCCCATCGCCAGAGGCGATGATAGCGATGCTACAGCAGAAGCCATAGCAGCTTGTGCTGGGATTCCACCATTCAACAGCTTGCAAGGCTGAAGAATTGACCGCCACTATTCAGCCTGGTCTACACCACACAGCTATGAAGTGGCTTTTTTTGGCCAGTGAATCCCTACTTTTTGGTCTTTTTCATTTTTTTCACGCACACACATCACACCACATACTCCGGCATGCACTGGCTGTTGGTAACCACCCAGGAGAATGAAAGAACAGTCAGGTGAAGTCTGAGAAAGAGAAGAAAGACGTGTGTGACCATAATCGTCAGGAATCGAACCCACAACCTATCGATTGGAAATCACACACACACACACACACACACACACACACACACACACACACACACATACACACACACACACACACACACACACACACACAGCAGGGCCGGCGCCACTGGTACGGCCGGTACGGCCATGGCCGCACCAACTTCCCAAAAGGTCGGTCCACATGGAACGTCCAAAACCGGGGAGAAAAAGTTTCGATGTATGATTTTGTACATGGAGTCGCTCAGAGTGCAGGATTTGCCGTCTAAATTCCAAACACCTTCTGGGGGAGGACCCCCAGACCGCCCTTAAAGATGGCCCTTCGGCCGCACCGCTCCGCGGAAGCTGCCTCCGGCCCTGCACACACACACACACACACACATACAGACACACACACACACACACACACACCACTACTACTACTACTGTAGCTTGGTTGCCAAAAGGACCACACCACTCCGAAAGGAGCCAGAGTCATTGTCAGGAGCAGAAACGAAGATAACGACTCAGGTCACTCTGTCGACGGAACTGACGGTTGCAGCGAGAACAGCGAACACCATACGACGCTCTACCAGACTTGGTTGCTCGATGGCCACGGTCGCACTTGTGACGTCTGAAACCAGGCACTGACTTGAACTGCCGATTGCATGTCAC